ATATATATTCCCTTCTTTTATGTTGCAACAACCTTATATTCTTATTTTAACACTCTTATTATTGGTTATTTTATTTTCAAAAAGTTTTCCTTAAACTTTTTTATCCTTCATTCTGGACTGTATGGAATAAACTTCTATCAACATTTTATTTCTTGAAGCTTCACTATAAATAAAAAGAATAAAATATAAAAGTCAGAACTCAAATAAAAAAAATAAAAATAAAAAACTTTGCTAACTCCATAAATCACATTATTACCCTAATTCATACAAATAAATCTACTTCATACACAAAGTAATAATAATGTTTAGCAATATCTGACAGAAATGCTTTCATCTTTATTCATTTGACCATTCCTCAATAGTAAAAGGATATATTATATACTAACAGTAGTAATAAATTATTGAAATTGCTAAAAGATTATTTCCGAAGATAAAATAAAGTTTGGGGCCAAATTTAAGGACTTATTGCTTACAATAGGATTAAATGAATGAATCATGAAAGGTCGGTGAAACATAACTAATGTGAATTGTGAATGTTCGACCTACTCGGTACATTGCAAAAATGTTCAACCCACACACAATTCCCATTTCATGAAAATTCAAATACTCAAACTTGTTCTTAACAATATTTTTTTAATTACCAATACACCAGCTTTCAAAAGAAATATCACCAATACACTGTGAGACAGTATATACAAAATTATTTTAAATATGTTGATAAAAATTTAACTATCTTTTTCTAACCCTTCAAAATACAAATATTCATTTAAGTAACTTACACCTCTTAAAATGTTTTTTTTCCTTGAAATTTAACTTTCGATAATTAGTTGAAACGGATTTCGTTAATAATTAATTTTGTTTTACCAACTTTGTAGTATTTTTGGTGTACGCTAAAAAGAAAACTTATTTACTAAATTAATATCTCAAATTGGAGCTTCCTTATTCTACGTCGTGAAATGTGTTGCTTATAGGCAGGCAGAAAGTTTAGTGGCACGAAAGAAATCATATAATATGGATAAGTCGTGTAATTGCATAAAAATAAAAATAATAAATAAATAAATAAATCAAAATTGTACGGTCAAATAATTGTAACATTAAAAAGGTTTTCTTCTTTTCTTCGAGTTCCACATTGGTTTGGTTTGGGATTGGTCACCGACCAGGTTAACGGTTTGTTTAATTGTTAATATTTGGCATTTGTCCCTCATATATAATTATATAAAAATAATATTTCATTTAATTTCGAATGTTCTTAATGTATTATGCCCCATATATAAAAATACATATATATGATGAAATATATTCCTTAAGAGAATATTTTATGTGGTAATAAGATAAGTAGACATCGATTATTAAATTAATAATAAAACTAAAATACATAATTTATTTAATTTCATTTTATATCCATGTTTTTAATATAAATTTTTTATTAATTTTATCGATGATATATTTCTACCATAGATAACTTGGTTGACCACTTTTAATAAAGTTTCATCTCTCAATCAAGACTCAGACAAAAAGATCTTAGAATCTATGTGGATATAAGTTTAGAAACATTTTTTTTCTTTACATGAAAATACTATTTATTTTTGGTAGAGAAATTCTCATACACCTTTCTAACTTGTATTCAAGCAGGCTTACTAAAGGATCTCAAACCTAAGACTTTGTTTAAAAAGATTGAATCTAATATCACTAATGATTATCTATGTGAAATAAATTTGTAGACAAAATTTGTGTATAATTTCTTATATGTAATTGGTTTTGTTCTTCAATTAAAATTGAAAACATACTTTAATAATATGCATATTAATGAAATTTGTATTAAATATAATTATATATTATTAAGGTTAATCTTCAACTTTGATTAGAAAACAACACCAACAACACTTAAGAAATTATACTTAAATTTTGTCCTAAATTCATTGCTTTCATAAACATGTTTTATTTTAATTATTGGAAATACCCATAATTTCATAAATTTTTTATATTTCACTCCATATAATTAAAAACATACGATTCTAATTCCTATACACTTTGTATTTTTATAGGAACTAAAAAAAATTATACAATTAATTTATACAACTATAAAAATTAAAAAGAGAAAGCTCATGTAATATACAAGAACTAAAAGAAGAAGAAAAAAAAATGGTTACATAAAAATTAAAATAGAATTTTTTATTATAGGAATTAAAATATAAGATTATAACAATAAAAAGGGTAATTAAAGTACATATATTTCATAGTAATAGTACCTTGTATATATACACTTATAATTTTCCGGGTTCATTGCAGCTGTTGGTCTTCCCCACAATCAGAGACGCCCCTCCCAATCATTTTATCGTACGAGTGACCAAATTCAATTCTTCATATGTATCTGTCCGTATATACATACACTCTTGGGACACGTGCTGACTTTGTTCTTGTTCCACTCTCTTACCCTCTTGAAGGATACAAGTACAACACAATTAGTCCAAAAACATAAACATAAATGAGCTGGTGAGAGAGATTCCGTGTCTCGAAATTTAGCTGTAATTTCCTCCTTCATATCATTTCACTCTCAACACCCTATAAATACATCCAATGTTCAACTTTTTTGTCACAACACACCTAGCTCATATTTCTTCTTTCACTTATTCAGTATTCACCCACAACTACACTATGTTGTGCCTCTTTGCTTGTTTTCTTCTCATTCTTATTATCTTCAAATCACTCATCAAACCCAAAGGGAGAGAATTGCCACTTCCTCCTGGGACCATGGGTTGGCCTTACATAGGAGAAACCTTCCAAATGTATTCTCAAGACCCAAACGTTTTCTTTGCCACAAAAATCAAGAGGTTCTAAACAATTCTTTTGTCACCTTCATCAACCCTTTTAAACATGTTCATGAAAATGATCACTTGCATTAACATGTGCACTATTTGGTACTTGGAAGTTGGATTAATTGTTCATTTTATTTTATTATTATTATTTTTTCAATAGGTATGGGTCTATGTTTAAGTCTCACATTTTGGGTTATCCCTGTGTGATGATTTCTGACCCGGAAGCAGCAAAGTTTGTGTTGAACAAAGCTCAACTCTTCAAACCAACATTTCCTGCTAGCAAAGAGAGGATGTTGGGGAAACAAGCAATTTTCTTTCACCAAGGAGCATACCATGCTAAACTCAGAAGGCTTGTCCTTCGCACCTTCATGCCCGAAGCCATCAAAGACATAGTCTCTAGCATTGAATCAATTGCTCAAAGTTGCCTCAAATCATGGGAAGGAAAGATGATCACCACTTTCCTTGAAATGAAAAACGTAAGCCCTCAAACCAGAGCAAAGAACAGAGCAAAAACAGAGCAAAATCCTATGTTTCTCTCTTCATCTTAAAAAATGAATAAAAAAATATTTAAAAAAAATCTCTTTAGTTGATCATTTTTTTTATTTACCAAATAAATAATGGGTTTTAAACTTTTTTTTATACCTTTTCTTTTTTAATCTTTTGCAGTTTACCTTCAATGTTGCCCTGCTTTCAATTTTTGGAAAAGATGAAACTCTATATAGAGAGTCTCTGAAGAGATGCTACTACACCCTTGAGAGAGGGTACAACTCAATGCCCATAAACCTTCCAGGAACACTGTTCCACAAGGCCATGAAGGCAAGGAAAGAGCTTGCACAGATCTTGGCTCAAATCATCTTAACCAGGAGGAACATGAAGCAAGATTACAATGACTTGTTGGGTTCATTCATGAGTGAAAAATCAGGACTCACAGATGAACAAATAGCAGATAACATCATTGGTATCATATTTGCTGCTCGTGACACCACGGCCACAGTGCTTACGTGGATTGTTAAGTACCTTGGTGAAAACCCTAGTGTCTTAGAAGCTGTAACTGTAAGTAAATGCCTCCTATCTTTTGTCCGGTATAATCATCTAGTAATTCTTCATTTAGTGCATATTTAGTTTAATTTAAGAAATAAGTATTTCTTTGAAAAAAAAGTTTTAATAATAAGTAGTGATTAAGGTCCATAGAGTTGTAGATAGGAAGAAAGATGAAATAAGTAATATAATGGAAAAGAAAGATAAGAAAAAAAAATGAGGTAAAAATAAGAGGAGAGAGAAAATGGGTGGATGTTTAATGAACATTGAGGAAAAAAATTATTTCATTTTGTGATACTAGGCTTTTAATTTAGAGTTTAGTTTAAACCTTTTATGACAAATAAATTGAACTATGATGGAAAATCTGGCATGTTGCTTGGTGTGGTACCTTAAAAAGTTGTTGGTTGTGACTTTGCAGGAAGAGCAGGAGTCTATATTAAGGGGCAAGAAAGAAAGTGGAGAAGAAATGGGTCTGAATTGGTCAGACACAAAAAATATGCCTGTGACATCCAGGGTCATACAGGAGACTCTAAGAATAGCATCAATTTTGTCTTTTACTTTCAGAGAAGCAGTAGAGGATGTTGAATTTCAAGGTCAATAACCAAATCTGATATGATACCCTTTTCTATTTTAATACACCAGAGAATTCCTCTCTTTTCCTTGTTTGTAATTGTGATGGGGGACTACCTTTCTTCAGGGTATCTCATACCAAAAGGGTGGAAAGTTTTACCACTTTTTAGAAACATACACCACAGTCCAGACAACTTCAAAGAGCCAGAGAAGTTTGATCCATCAAGATTTGAGGTAATTATTATGCAGAATGATTTTTTCTTTCTTTTTTTTCTTTTTCCTTTGCTATTCCCATCATACCTATGTGATTTCAAGGTCAGAGTTTAACAGAATCTGTTAAATTATTTTGCTAGGTTGCTCCAAAACCCAATACTTTTATGCCATTTGGCAATGGGACCCATGCATGTCCTGGCAATGAATTAGCCAAGTTGGAGATTTTGGTGCTTCTACATCACCTGACCACAAAGTACAGGTTGGCAAACTGCATTATGATTTATGACTTTCCAAATACACTCTCATTGCAACCCTTTCAGTGGCATGCACTGATGGAGGCATATTACAAAATTAGAATGTTTTGACTGATTCTAATTTCTAAGTGGAGCTCCTATTATTTTTATGCAGGTGGTCTGCAATAGGTGCAAAAAATGGGATTCAGTATGGTCCTTTTGCCCTTCCACAAAATGGATTGCCCATCACACTATATTCCAAGAAATAAATATGCTTCAAATGAAAAGTGGAGGCACACTAACATGACATGGGAACAACTTGCTAAATATGGAAATAGTGGCTCCAAAGATATTTCAATTTTGTTTCACTTGAGAAAGTGATGAAAGAGACCCTAAATAAACAAAGTGGGATGGATTCTTCACTTTATTTTAAGGCCAAAAGACAACCAAAGGAAAGGCTTGAGGGAAGTTAATTGTACAGAGGAGGTTCAGATGTATTAGGTTCTTTTTATTCTTCATTTTTATTTAGTTACTTTTTCATTTTCCACTTCTAACGGTTCTAATTTTCCCTGTTATTTTTTCTTTATATTTTCAAATAATTTGAGGAAAAGTCCTCAAAAGATTAGATGTATTGAACTCCCTAGCTTTGTATCCATGCAATACAGAGAAAAAGAAAAAGAAAGTGAAGATGAAATATTTAATTGTCCAATTTTTACACCTTCTCTCTCTTTTTTTCTTTCTTTCTTTTTTTTTGTTTTTTTACCTTTACTTTGAACATGTGCTACTTGTATTCACAGCAATGTTGTACGAAAGATGAAAACTACTTTCCTTATTTTCCTTTCTGCATAAGAAATTTTCATATAACAATATGCTTATAATAAATCAACTATTAAGAAATTTACAGTTATTCATGAATTATATATATATATATATACATATATATATATATATATATATATAATATGAAAAATATTTAAAAGTATATTATTTTACTGATATAAAAATTAAATTAAAATATAACTATCAGGATTTGAAATTTTATTTTAAAAAAATTATAGAATGTTAATTAATAAAGTACTATTTTAATAATGATTTAATTACTTCATCTAAATGATTGTAAAACTAAAACTCTCTTTTGATTCAATTAGTAATCGTTATCTTCTCATTAAGAATGAAAGCTCAAACAACTAATATAAGAATTGGTATTAATTAGCGAAAAGGCATAGAGGCATTTTGTGCCTCTCATTAAAATAAAAATAAAATAAATGAGTAATTATTTAAATTTTTTTATCTGATTTTTTTTTTAAATACTGGAGTAGTTAAAAAGTGTAAAAAAAAAATAAAATTAAAGTGAATTTTAAAAACAAAAAGTAATTTATGATAGAATAATTTTAGAGATAAAATTTATATATGTATATATATATATATACGCGAAAAAATTCAATAGTCTTTATTATAGTTGTGGTTATCATAAAAATAAAAATCATTACACTATTTTCTCAACTATCGGATCATATATATCTAAATGCGTCCAACAGACTTGATAAATAAATAAAAAAATGCGTCCAACAGTTATTTATCATCAATGAATCATAAAGTTAATTGAAGGTAAACTGACAAAAGTAAAACGCCAAACCTTTTGGACTACATATAATAGAATTTATGTTCAAATAAATAATAAAGTATGTTTAGAGAGTCACACCATGTTACTACTATGTATTAAATGAGAAAAAAAAATATAAAAAAAAGGCTTCTTGAAAAAAGTTAAAATGTAAAAAAAATTAAAAATAAAATAAAAATAAAAAGTTGAGATAAAATCTTGGTGGAAGAAAATTAACATTTGAGATTTCTTTTTAAAAAAGGTGGGATATATACATATTGAATATTGATTATACGTAACGTAGGAAATAGAAAAGGAGTAAGGAAAACAAAAACTCCCTTTCTGTAATCTTTCAAGACAATTTGTTCCTTCTCTATTCTTCTCAATGACTCAATTTTTGTTTTCCTAAATTAAGGTTAATTTTGAAGAACGTCTAAAGTTAAGGGTTAAACATTTTGTCTGTCTATATAAATATGTAAAATTTTATTTTTAGTTTATCATTTTTTAAATATGAACTTTTGATTCTCACTTTCTTAATTAAAATGCGTCAAAATTGATTTATTTTTTTTAAAAAAATTCAGTTAATCTAATATAACAGTAACAATCAATCATTAAACACGTTATATATATATATATATATATATATATATATATATATAACATAC